TCTTACTGACATCAATAAATACAAAAATATGACAGTCGACAAGACGGTATACAAGCCAAAATGCAAGTCGAAAATAAGAAATTAGGAAAAAACGAGGGGCGCTATTATCGCTGTGTGTTATTTCTTAATTTCCTATTTTCGAGTTGCATTTTGGCTTGTATAGCGTGTTGGTGCCTTCTTACTGACATCAATAAATACAAAAATATGACTAAGTCGAAAGTCGACAAGACGGTATACAAGCCAAAATGCAAGTCGAAAATATGAAATTAGGAAAAAACGAGGGGCGCTATTATCGCTGTGTGTTATTTCTTAATTTCCTATTTTCGAGTTGATTTTGGCTTGTATAGCGTGTTGTCATCTCATATTTTGTTGTAACTTCTACTTTTCGACTTTTGTGTTTTGAAGAGGCGAAAAGTAGAAATTATGAATGGTAGTTATAGGCTTCCATACTAGACCGATCACCGAGTGGAGAGAGAGAGAAATGGGGTTTAACGTCCACTCGACACAAACTAGGTCATATGGTTTTAATTTTATTTCAATAATTCGCTTGCGTGTAGGGGTCTTTAGTAGTGGGAGGAAACAGGTCACCGAGTGGAACTTCACAGAGAAGGTTGCGGGATAGCTCAGTCTCCGCCCTCGCGCCGCTAGAAACTTAAATGCCTAAGCTGGGCTTTGCTGTGAGATGATGGCTGGATAAGTTTAAAATTTTCGGATCGATTTTACATGTAGATAGTTTGGTTGGTAAGTGTTTGGATGCCTCGGTCTGTACCTCCTCTCTTCCGTGTGTTTCTTAAAGGTTTGGGTTCGTCGTAGCATTTTCCTTTTCGTTGGCCTCGGAATAAAAAAATGATTCCAGTTCGACGTATTTGTTGTGCGTCGTTTCACTATTTACCATGGATTGTCATATTTTGTTTCCACGATCCCATTCCTCAACGTAGAACGAGTTCGTTTTTGTTTTTTAGAGTGGCCACCTTCTTTAGTTCGGGTGTTACTTTTTCGGTCAAAGTGTGAAATCTTGCCATTGGTTTTAACAACTTGTTTCTTTGGTTTCAATAGGGTTTTTGTTTTCAGGTAATTTCGCTACTGGCTTTGGCTTGAAGGGAGAATATCCGAATTTACCCTCATAACCATTTAGCCAAATTTCGCTCTTTTCCAATTTATTTTCGCACCACGTTATCGTCTTCTTTCTATCGGATTTCCAATATTCGACCAATTTTACACGTGTCTCGCCTTGCGATATGGACTCAATTTCGTTTATCATATCCTCATCAATTCTATTTGGTAGACATTCGATGTCTTTGAAGTTGATTTTCATGATGCGGATATGTGTCGCAAAACTTTTAATGGCGTGGTTTATTCGAATCATTTTGGCTTCTTCTTTTCATTTGAGATTTCCTTAAGCCGGAATTTGTTTAAGAGGATTGGTTTTCCTACGCGAGCCATTGATCGTAGTGTTCGATATGTTTTGATACGCTTTTGTTCTTCTAAATCGCATTTCGATAGTTATTCACGTTTTGCTTCCAAGTTTCGGACATTTTACGCTGCTGTTTAAGAGCTTCTTCTTCCGCATCTATTTGAGAAGTTGTACGTCCAGCCGACAGAATATGGTGTTGTGAAAGAGTTATATCCTTTAACAGTTCTTGCATGTTATCTTCATTTTTAAGTTTTGAAGAAATAACTTCAAATAATTCATTTTTAATTTTTGAAGAATTAACTTCAACTAAACCTTCGAATGAATCTACACAGGTCCCAGATACTCCACCCAGAAAACAGGACAATTCCACTATTGAAGCAATTTCTCATAAAACAAAGACTATCCCGTAAAGCTGATCGACAATGCGATACAGACAGCCTTAAAATTAGACCAAAATTTCGAGCAAAATTTCCGTATGAATATGACCTCCCCAACCGGCTTTGAAATAAATAACACCACGTGAACAATTATGTCAATATCCGGTTATCACTAAAGACGTGAAGTGGACCATACAGATTGAAATAATGTACCTGGATACCAAATTATATTATAAATGATTTACCACAAAGCTTAAAAAGAGAAGACCATGACACAATTCCAAACATATATTGTAGGCTCTTAATAGAAGGCAAATTTTCTCGGGTGGGGCGGGAATGGGGGCTCTAATGTGTGCGCTTTAGATCAAAAGGTATGCCATTTTGTTGAGTGGCGTGGCATCCAGTCTATACTTGTACGTGACAAGAAGTAGAATCACCTGCCCTATGTGCAAGTGATTTATTGAAATAAAATATAACCATATCTTAGTTCCGAAATGATCTAGTTTATGTCGAGTTGCCGTTCAACCCCATTTTCCCTCTCTCTTCTAAAATATCTCGATTTCTTCCAGACAGGTTAAAATTTCGTTTCGTTTGTTTTGCTTTTACTCTATGCTGTACCAGAATATATATATACAATAGAATATTGATAAACAAGGGAGTCATATTACACTGGTACTGATTATAAAGGAAATTGATGTATGGGATAACTATTTACCGAGACTAATTACTGTTTAGCTGTGAATATTTAACCTTAGTCAACCCAATACAAATAAATAAGCAGTATGTGAAACCCACTGTATAACAGTTTAAAATATCTGAACATTAAGATATAAACATTGCGAGTGTTTCCATTCCATTTTTTACTAGAGAATTCCACACAAACGTCACAATACAACCGTTTTACAATATGCCAGTGATTCAATTCCATTTTGTTGTAGATAAGTACATACACAAGTCATAATATAACCGTGTTACAATATGCTAGTGTTTAAATTCCATTTCGTACCAGAGAAGTACAGAAAAACCTCATAATACAACCGTATTACAATATCCCAGAGATTCAATTCCATTTTTTTTTACTAGAGGCATACATACATGCAAACATACATACGTCATAATACAACCATGCTACAATATGCCAGTGTTTCGATTCCATTTGCTTTACTACAGAAGTACATCAAAACGTCATAATACAACCGTCCTACAATATGCCGGTGTTTCAATTACGCTTTTTACATAAAAACATCATACAATTGTAGTATAACAATACTTTCTAATATAATTATGGATAAATATGGTAATAAAGCTATTATGGTCTATCAAAACACCGTTTACCTCTTAAAACTACTCCCCTGTTGTTACAAACACAGGAGGAAAGTTCGTTTTATGTAGTTGTAGATCAATTATGAATAATTTTACATATCCTAGCTCTGAACAGTTAAAATGGTTATACCAATTTCAAATATTAATATTTAAATATTGTAGTAAAGAGATCATATTGGGTTAAATTTTACTAGGATGAATGACGACCGTATAGTATTCCTTGTGTACATATAGGGTGCTAGTCATGCGAAGGGCTGTCTGACGTTTTAGAAAATATAAATTGGACTGCGAATTAAAAAGCCGAATCCAGTTGGTTGACCTGAATAAAACGATTTTCAGTGCCGTTTATGTTCACCATTTTAAGAACACCCCGAATGAACTTCCATTATGAGATTTCCCTCATCCTTACTCGGGGCTTGCCGAATTCGCCCGCTCGGTTGTGTTTGGCAGCAGAATACCTTATAACATTTTATAGCACGTTCTAGAGAAAACATAAAAAAAATCTGTATGGTGAACGTGACAGACTGACGTAACTATTAATTTATTTATAGTTTCAGTTCAATAATGCCGCCAAGAACTCTATTAGGTCTAAACTATGTCAAATATAGCAATGTTACTAAACGTATACAGGAAACGATTAATGTTAATATGCTGTTCCGGCGGTAAAAGAAGGGCTAGCTTAAAATTCCTGGCTATTTTGATTCCTTAGGCAAGCCAGTTTATCTATTCTGGCTTAATTAATTACGCATGCACATATTGTACAGAAAGTTATCATTTACCCCAGAAGGTGACGTAAAATGCATACTAGAGAGGCAAGCATACTGGAAACATTAAGCCAACGGTTAATTAAAGACAGCTTAAGCTGTCCCGTTAGTAGGTGTAGAAGGCGTGTTTAATCTAGATTAATGCTGAATGAGTGAACTTAATTCCAGGTTTAACATACCGCGAATTACTAAACATATTTCTTCCCCCCCCCCCAAAAAAAAGGTATTCTTAAAATATTATACTGGCTATTCCCCTCTACACCCCCCCCCCTCCCGCACACACGAGCTAAAAGTAAAAAAAATATCCCGGTGAAAATATTGCATTTAAGATTTCGGGGGATTTGACTGTCAAGTGATAGTCCAGCCAAGTGGTATTTAAAGAGTACATTTACAAGTCCAGCAAATGTTATACAAAAAGTAAATCTAACAGTCAAGCCAAGTGCTATTCAAATAGTAGCCTAAATTCAAAACCCAAACACGTGTTATTCAAAGAGTAAATTTACAGTTCCAGCTAAGTTATATTTAAATAGTAAATAGTAAAGTCCAGCCAACAACAGCTTTTTAAGAAAAAATAAATTGACAAGTCCAGTCAAATGCAGCTATGCAAAAAGCAAGTCCAGCCAAGTGCAGAAGAAGAAAATTTACAAGTCCAGCAAAGTGTAGGTATTTAAAGAGGAAATTCCAACCAAGTTTTATTCAAAAACTTATACAAGTTAGTCTAATTTAGAATACCATGTGTAGTGAATTTTCACGGATCACCAATCAAAAACAATTCAGGTTGGTAAATATTCTGTACATGTTATATTGATAAAATAATGCATGTGATGTAATTAATCCGAGCTGGAATATACACCGTACAATACATTTTTAAAATCAAAATTTCTTTTCAGTAATTATTTCCCGAACATAAAATTAATACTATCATTATTAAAAGTGACGGGCTTTGAATAAATATTTCACAAGCGACAGTATGTTGTGTATGGCTATTTGTAATAGAAGACCACAAAGTTTAACATACAGCCAGTAATGACAAAGTTGTTCTATTAAAAAGATAAGAGTAAACATTAATATTCATACGTTAATTATAAAAGTAGTTATTTGAAAACAATGTTCATAAATTACCTGAAATATGAAAGCTGTATGTGTCGTACAACATATAAGCCACTGTTCTATGCGTCTAATCCTAGTAAAAGTTAAGCCAGAATAATAATTGTCGACAGTCTTGGCCTACTCATTCTCTGACGCCTTAGCATACGATTGGTCGCTAATTTAAGCCACACAACTCTTTATGAACAGCCCATTTCACCTGGTATTGATGTATTTCTTGTATTCCATTAGACCATGCTGTCCAACTCTTTTATCAATGATAATGAATGGCCGGTGTACTCATTCACATACACGTATATTTAGTACATATATAATTAAAAAATAACAAAACAAATGTGTGGTCTGTACCGTCAAATCGAAATACGTCTAACGACGGTGCTGAAATCCAAAGTGCACATACGGCTAAATAACGGTTTAACCACTTTAAAAACTGGTTAAATATAGACTATAACTACTGTCAGTTCCCGGAAAATAATTTCCTGCTAAACACTAATCTAGTCTGGCTTGATAGGTTATTTCTCGTCTCACGTCTTGATATTTTAAGTCCATATCTTTATATTTCCCCCGTATGGATTACTTTACTACAACTTTCATTCAATTGTCTGCACAAACGTTTATTTTATTTACACAAATCGATTTTTTTTTTGTATTTTTCTGTCAAGATTTAAAAATGTTTGTTTAAAGTCCATATCTTATTTATGTTCCGTCTTATGGCTTATATTTCTCGAATATTCGTTCAACTATCTACATAAACGTGTCAGTTTCGGTACAATAATCTGTTTTCATCTGTCTGTAAAGATTTTTAAAATGTAAACATTCTAATCTATTAATCTATTTTAAATGCAATTATCAATCGGGGTCAAACTATCAGAGAAAGTACTAAAAAAAACCACGGGATTGGACAGGCGACCCTACTCCTTGTCACGTACAATCGGAGAATCGAAACCACACCACTTGACTCAATGACAGAACTTATGTTTTCACGCCCACGATATGACCTAGTTTGTGTCGAGTTTGGAAGTTTAGTCCCATTTCTCTATTATCTAAAGCGAACGCGTTTGATTCAATCATATTTCAAATTTTTAGAAAATTACAAATTGTAACATTGTACGAGAAGTGTGAGGCTTGTTTAGCTAAATTTCTCATTTGGCAGTGATTATTACTTTTGACCCAAACGGCTGTGTGGCAGCACCTTTAACAAATTTGTTGGAATTTGAGCGTCTCGGTTGTCTACTCTACTTTTAGACATTTAATACGGCAAAACTATACACTCCTGGGGGTAGTTATACCGTCTTCTTCAGAGATACCTCTGTCGACTGTATCCATCCATAATACTAACAAGATAACTGTCTTATAATTAGAATTATTTTAAGGATTGCTGCGCAAAAGGAATGGAACAGCGTATGTCAAAATTCGTTAAATTCTACATTCTAATCATTAGTATTTTTAATATTATAATTGAGAGAATGTCTCAAATATAAAGGCATTAAGTTCTCTGTTAACAGCAGGGAATTTTGTTTATAATTACACAAATTGACTGGTGGTCCACCAACCCAATAATATCATCCTAGACTGGTGGGCCAAGATTTTATTGTTTATTCACGCCCAGTAGCAGCAAGGTTCCACCTACAGAACCAGTTACCTATGGTCTCTAGTATATCTACGTCACTCAGGCACAACAGTGTTAAAGTCTCTTATAAATATACTGGTTAATAACGGTACTCTAAGTAGCGTCAATAAGGGGGATAAACTCCTTGTAATAAACGTATTTGTGCAAAATATAAGAGTGCCTAATACCCCCGTCAGACCGGAGCTGCGTCCTTACTGCGCTGCTAAGGCGACGGAAAATGGTCTCAGAGCCCTTCAAGATTGCCATAAGCGTAGTGGAAGCGCCAGATACCGCGATGTGGTCTCTATTGTCACCAATGATCGCTGAGTCACGGCAGTTGTTTTGAGCATGTCGAAAACAAATGCCAAGGTTCTACGATCTGACCTGGAAAGCTGTGAGAAAGGGGGCGCGGTCGCGCGACAAGCGTGGTAACATCTCCATGAACGTAGTGCACACGTGGCAAAGACGCTGCTAAAGTTGTAACATTTGCAACGGCGACTTCATGGCGTGAACCCATGCGTTCGGAGTCATTATGGCGTTGATTTAACCACTGTTGCGCCACGTTCTCATAGGTCTCACAGTGCGTCTATGGCGATCTTATGGTGTCTCCACTGAGGTTATGAGGTCCTTATGGTGTTGTCATGGCGATGTTACGATGATTTTACCACTGTTGCGCTATTGCACCACAAAACGAACGACTTAAACCTCGATGTTTCTGAACGAAAAAACGGTAGTCAATCATAATGTACAATATAGTACTCAATATACCGAAGAAGATCTAATAATAAATTAGTAAATGTAAATATATGTAAATAGATAAGAAATACAACACCAAATCAACGATTTATAATAAGTATAATAATAAACAGCTGAGTTGAGCAGCTCTCGTGAAGAGTGTTTTGTAAAGTCAATAAGGAGGCCGTGCGATAAAATCAATGTTTGGCTGTTAAAAATAGATCCCGTAAAATACACGGATATGTAACTGATGCGTTTGCACTTGAGAAACATGTAGAAAGGATTAAGTTAAACCGGAAACCGAGGCAACCCACATTAACGTTACGTTTATGATCTCGTCAAGGAGATCATATAATTAAAACAAATATCAAGGTGGGGTGGGATTTAGTTGTTTTCTGTAACAACAATTAAAAGATGAATTAGCACTTGCCAGGTCCCCGATTTGTCGTGACTGACAATACTGTTACATCTGGCAAATGATATTGTATTCAACATTTGAGACATCAACCATGATAGCTTAGCGAGTAAGGTGCTGGTTCACCATGGGGTTATGAGAGAGAGATGTGGGGTTTAACATCCATAAGACACAGATGTACACATTGGCGTAAAATAAATCATGCCATAATTTCTCTCAGACAATGGTCAACCCCGTTTCAAATTTGAGTCCAATCTGGCAAGCTTTCATTGAGTTAAACAAGTTGTACAAAATTTGAGTAGAGTTCAGATTTGACGAACATTCGTGAACTATATTTTAACTACAGTACGTATATTGTCCATCGTCAGGCGAGTCTAAAGTTATTTTAAATAAGATAATTTTTATTACCTTTACCCTCCACCTTTATTGTTCGCGTGCCAAATATAAAATACCCAAATATAACTTCTGGCTAGACAATGAAAATGAACGAGGTAAAATCACGATGCATATGAATATTTAACCAAATGATGACATATATATGACATATAGATCTCCTGAGGAAGAAATACAAAAGTAACGTGTAAATATTTAATCAAATGTTATTGTATATCGATAATTTTCCACTGAATTATTGCATGTTATAGAAAGTACAGAAACACTGTAAGCCATGAGAACCTATCAATTGTCTGAGGGGAGGTATCTCGTGTTCCACACTGCATAGAACATCGATAACTACCTAGAACGAACTGAAGATTGTGATTAGATGGTCAAAAATGTATATTTAATGCTAGAACTAGGTAACCAGTACATAATTAATTCCTATATTTCCGTGAACTATTTTTATCTTTCGTCTCATCTCGCTTGAGTTGTTCCACACAAAATAAAATATCCGGTACCTAATTGAAATCATAATTTCTAATTGGATATTAGTTTTAGGCTTAACTCATATACTTAGTGTGCTGTAACTAAATAACCTACATTTCCGTGAACTATTTGTATCTTATGTCACACCCTGTCTTCATCATCCCAGTTCTTGGTGAAAAGTAAAACAGGGAACACCATTTTTGATCGCACCCGGAGTCCGTCTTTTAGCTGTCGTTCTGCTTTCCGAATCGTCCTCGGAAATTAGGACGGGTGGGTGGGTGTTTGGGGGCAAATGGTTTAACGCGTGCGAGTTAGATCATAAGTTCTGTATTGAATCAAGTGGTGTGGTTTCGATTACAAGCTTGTACGTTACAAGTGGGTTTTCACTTGCTCCTCCGGTTTCCTCCTACTACTCAAGACCTCTACTCGCAAGCGAATTACTGAAACAGAATTGAACCGGTTGTTGTTTCAATTCATAAGAAACATCCACAATCCCAACAACACCTTTTATAATCACTGGTGTTTATTCATTTCAGGAAATGGCATCATACAAGGCAAATATTTTGTTAGAGGAAGATTTATTTTAGGGGTCTCACCAGATTACTTTAATAATGCATACTTATAGGATATTAAAGTAACACGATAAATTGTGGACATGAACAACAATAATTGTGATTTTGTTAGTTATAAAACTAGAAATGAGAATTATTTTTGCATACTATGAAATGAAATAAAATGAAATAGGCTTTGTCCTACTTTTCTGCACCGACTAGATCATTTCGGGACTAACATGGTTCAATTTTATTTCAATACTTCGCTTGCGCGTTGGGGTCTTTAGCAGTTGGAGGAAACCGGATGACACGGAGAAAACCCATGAGGTTGGACATGCTACCCTACTCCTTGTCACGTTCTACTGGGGAATCGGAACCACGCCAATTGACTCATTGACAGACCTTATGATACTGCGCTCACGGGCTAACCATTCCCCCCTTCGGGCTAACAAAGACTGGGCTTATACACTATAATAAATATACACCAATGTTACTTAGGGGGTGGCTGTGTTGACCGCGAAAGTTCCCCCTGATTGTCCAGTATGGTTTTGGAATTGGAAATAAGAGTTGGTCGTAGTGCCGCTGTCCGGGCAAAATTTCCTTCTTGGCATATACTAAGCCCGCCTTCATTAGCCCAGTAGGTGCAGATAAGTAGGACGTTAAATCTCATTTCAATTCCAGTGCTACTTGATATAATTATAGCTTATGCTTCGTTTGGTAGCAATGTGTCCATAATGTGAACCGATCGCAGATAGAACTGCAAAGCTTTCACACAATGTAGCCGATGCAGCCAAACAACAGTGATATTGATGACCTTCATCTTTTCGAGTGACTTGCTTCAAAACCATGTCCACTGGCACATTAACACATTTTCTTTGTATGTATAATAACACAAACCTCAATTGGTTAATTAAACACGATGGTACTTGATATAT